CTGTCAAACCGTTCTTTTTTGTCTAATTATGTTTGTTGGTCTTGATAAAGACCGTTTTCGTTGTTGTGGTATGTTTGCTCCGTAACAGTTGTTGTTAAACTAAAGGAAAATCTTGTATTACATTTCAAAACTTTAGAAATAAATGAAACTCAATTTTTTCTTATGCCTATATAATAATGATCAAAAACATCAAACAGAGTCGCAATATTTCGAAAATGTTATGGTGTATAATAATTCAGAAAACATGTCATGTATTTACGGTAATTTTTTTTGAGGTACACCAAATAACAAAATCGATATTTTCGAAATTAATTTTGTGTTAACATCACAGTTTTCTTTAATTGTTTGTTTGTTTTTTCTGAAGTTTTGACATCTATTGGGGTTTTTTTAATTTCACCCCTCAAAGTACCATCAAGATTCATTTTTCTATCAGAAAAGATGTTGTTGAAAAAAATCGAAGTATTTTTACTGTCCCAAAAGTTGATGATAGACAAAAATAAAAACACATCACTGTAAAATCAATACATTCATCGCTCCAGGCAGAATCTAAAATACAGCTAAAATTAAAATACAACTTATTGTGTCATTAAATATACGAAGAGTAAATGTTGACAAAAAGTTTAAAGTTATGTGATCCATTTAGGTACAACTAAATAACATCACGGAAATTGTTAAGCATTTGTCTACCCTAAAAAAAAAAAAAAAAAACATGAATTTAAAATACTTAAAAGACATAATATCTGTTCACCTCACTCGGCATATTTTTACATAAATATTGTTTTAAAACGCAAAATACAATTTTTGTTTAATATCTATTTTATATTTTTATTTTATTATATTGTTATATATATTGCGATTAAATCGCACTTTGGTCAGTAATTTGATGATGGAAATACAATCGAATTACGTTATATTTTACTAATTAAACCTATAATAGTAACACTTATTATGCCCTCTGCGTTAGGAAAGTTTGATATATTTAATAAATATTTATTCGTATTATTATAGACATTCAATTTGTTGTGCACGGATTATTTCTAACGAATAATTACTATCGATTTTAATGAAATAAACTAACTGAGTAACCGTACCATTATCTCGTTACGTGTCTAATGTTATAACATTGACGGTCCCATATTTTATATAAAAGTTTATTTTCTTCTTACAGAATCAAACGTAGATCTCAACATTACAGTTGAGAGTTATTAATATTATTATTATCTTTGACTTTATAATATTCTTTGCTTCTCAGTCATAGTAATTATATAGGAAGAATATAACTTTAATAACAATGTTTTCTTTACCATGAAAATTTAATTTCAACTTTATGAAAACATAGAGTGTTATTAATTATTATATTCAACAATATTTATAAGTTTTGATACGGTCCATTTATTTGCACCAAAATAATATAATAGTTGTGTAATATTATAAAACCGCCTGAATGCATGCAATGTCCATTATTTTTTATTACGAATAAAAAATATTTTGCCAAGGTTTATTTGTGATATTGATTGTTTGGAGTGTGAAAAGAACAAAAGTTGGACCATACGTATAATATTATTGATGTATTGTGTTTTTCACAATATAATAGTTGTTGCAGTAGATAACTATATACTACGTATTTTAGTCCTGCAGATCGGAACTATGTATGTTCTTGGGATGCACTATGCGTACAGACGAGGGACACTCAATTTATCGTTTATAGCTGATTATGTTTGAAACGTCTATGCCTATGAAATATGGGATATAATTATATGCGAATCACATAATGCGATGTTGTGATAGCCATCGTCGAAATTTCGTTTTGAAAATCAATATAGTTCATTAATTTTCGTTTCAAAAGTTGGTCCTTGGGCGATTGAGCACAATGAACCGTTTAAAATTAGACGGAGAAAAATAATTGAATTCATCTTTTATATAGGAGACCCGTTTATCAGACGTCCGCGAAGTTTATATTTAATTGCGAAAGTAATGTGATAAATGATCGCAGAAGTTCTCTTGCCGGTCGTCACCAGAACATACGTCCGACAATTAACTGCATTACACGACGCTCTGAGATTTATCCTTTAATGTCCAATCTCCAAAGATACAAATGAATACGCACGCGGTGGTCTTAGCGGTTTGTAAACGAACAGTGTAGGTATAGGTAAAAAATAACTCAATAGGCACTTAAAAAAGTATTTTTGTTGGAAATGTCGACTCACAACAGTTATGGGATTTTCGACAAAAAACGTGTACCGTTGTCTTAAACTAATTTTGTGACGCCATCTACCGTGCATTAGACGCACCTGTATTACAAAACCCGATAACCGACTTATTTATGGCGAGTCCGGAAAAATTAAAACTGGTAACTATGACAGAAATACTATTTATATGAACCGTACCGTCGTTCTGCATTGTAGTACACTAGTACCTAATAGCAGTGTTGGGTAGTAACGTAACGAAAGTAACGCGTTACTGTAACGCCGTTACTTTGTTTGTAACGCGTTACGTAATTTAATTACAATTATTTTCAAATAACGAAAATGTAATGAAAATTACTTTTGATGAGTAATTTACATAGTATAACGCGTTACAGTTTTAAATTATTTAGTACCTATTGCGAATTTCAAAAAAAAAAAAACTTAAAAATATAATGTCTAATGCGGGTATTATTTATTATACAAGTGGTTAATTATTATACGTTCCTAATGTTCTTATTAACTATTGTCTATTATTAAGCTTAAACAATACGTCTGTACATGCACTAAAAATAAATATTGATGGATAACCAATGATAAATCGAATTATTTACATTGCAGTGTTATAAATAATTATTATTGCTGTTTGGCATTTTACAAGAAACGGTGAAAATAATAAACTTATCTAATATCTTTATCTAATATCTTATCTATTTATCTATTATCTTATCTAATATCTTTATTAGTAATGACTAATGAGTAATGACCGAATATTCATATGTACAATTTATTACTACTATTTTTAATAGTTATAACTTAAAAGTTATAAGTAATTAATATTGTTAGGTAAGTATTTATGTTATTAACTGTAGGTACATCTTTTTCAAATTATACAATATCTTCTGTAGGAAGTGTATTTCTAGTTCCTTTGCTTTTTAAATGATAATAGCTAAGCAATTAAAAAAAAAATTATAAAAAAAAAAAAAATGTAACGAGAAAGTAACGTAGTTACTTTTCTATTTGAAAAGTAAAGTAATTTCATTACAATTTTATTTGAGTAACGAGTAAAGTAACTTTATTACATTTCTCTCTAAGTAACGAGTAAAGTAACTTTATTACTTTTTAAAAGTAATTGACCCAACACTGCCTAATAGCACAGGTACATGTTTAGATATTGTTTAAGTTGAAATTTGAATGCATTTGTTCTAACCTATACTTATTAATGTCAGTAATTTGATAATTCCTCAAAATTGAAAAGTGTTACGAAAAGCCGCCTAACAATGTCTACGCATATTATTATGTAATCCAACTGGAAATATATTTTTTATTTATATACGATACTGTATATTATTTTGCATTATGTAATGTACATTTGTAGCTAACTTTAATCTAACAGTATCCAATACTAAATTAAAACTCTTACAATATTATTTGTTTTAAAAATATATCAACTTATAAAACATTGTACCTAATATAGGTTTGCAAATTCGTAATTTTTTCGAACGACACAATTTATATTATTATTCACAAGCATAATGATTTGAAAGACTTGGAATCATTTTGTTTTAAATATACGTAGGTACATTTTATCATAAAAATATGTAGTGTACATATATTGTATACTATTTATTTATTTTTTCACTAAAATAATGCATAGGTACCTATAAGTTCGTATATTATGTATATAATTTTGACTTTGTGCTGTATATTTTAATGAAATATTTCGTTTGCTTTCAATATTCATGCAATATTCAGTATAATATTATTCCCATGTGGAAGCAATAAATAAAATATGCTTCCAAGATGAAATCGTCATCAAATAACATATTGAAACAGCTTGTGTTCAATAAATAGAGAGAGAACAAAAATATTTTTCAATCCACATATCGAAATAATATATTTTTTGTTTCGCAATATGTTAGAGTGTATCTGTCAAAGTGAAAATTGGCTAAATAACATACGGCAGGTACAATGTTTGTATTATTTTATTGTTATTATATGCTTACAACATAATTTAATCTTAATGTAATGACTTAATAATATGTTTAATAGTTAAATATTTATGGAAAAAAAAACGATGTTAGCTTGGGTTTAAGTAAAAATAACAACAATAAAAGGGTCAATATAACACTTATTGGGTATATTATAAATTAATAATTATACATATTATGATGGAAGTAATTTTTTTTAGAATTATATTAATACCAACGTATGTGTACAAAACAAGCAGTTTTCGTGAAAAAAATTTAAGATTTATTATAAATATATGAAATATTGTTCTATTGTTTCGTTAAATTTCACTCTGACTTTTGTATCATAATAATTAATATAGCTATGTAAAAAATGGGTACATTTGATTAAGATATTATAAAATATAAAAATGTAATTGAAACAATTCTTATTTTAATGACTAGAAATACTTTTTTTTAAATAGAAAAGAGAGAAATACGTTTTAGTGAAATTTTTTAACGTCTTGAAACAAAAAACATAAATGTAATATACAATGTTTAATTGCACATTGCGTAGACAATTCAGACAAAAATATTAAATTTAATGTAAAACATTCGATTTGTATAATGTAGGTACGTTTTTAATCAGGCTTGGTATGGAAATAGATATTTTAGTTTTATCGGTTTTTCAAATCGTACCTTATATTTTTCATTTCAAGCCGTAACATCATATCAAAGTAGGTATCTAACTGTATCGTTATTATACTTATCAGTTATCATACATGTAATACACGTTATTATATATTCACCAAAACACTTATACCATGCTATCACTACTTGTACATAATACTATTATAATATAATATACATGACTTTTCATCTATTTATTTATTTTTATAACATAAGTTGCTGGATACACGAGTCCCTTTACTCGTGGATACTATCGGGTCCAGTGTGTCTGTCGATGTTGGCCAACCTCGTGTTTCTGATCAACATCGTCAGACTGTTGCTGGTCAAGTTGCACGCCCGACAGATCACCATGTCCAGTCCGAAGCACGTGGCTCCCAGGGAACGGGCGCAGTCGTTCAGCCTCCGGAGGTGAGTACGGACCTGAAAACCGTCTGGTCGTCCGGTGACTGTAGCAAAAGCGGCTAACAACAATCTTCGGTATTTTAAACGACGAATAATACGACTTGTCCGTGTGTGGTGTGCCCGACAGCTTCAAACGGAACAACTGCAGCGTGGACAGCTACGACAAGGCGCCAGCGTCGTCGAGTAGAACCGGAAAGGCGGTAAGGGCCACTCTCATCCTGATACCACTACTCGGGCTCCAGTACATCGTCACGCCGTTCCGACCGGAACCCGGCACTTCCTGGGAACCCGTGTACCAGGTCACGTCCGCGGTGGTCGCCTCGTGCCAGGGTTTGTGCGTGGCTCTCTTGTTTTGCTTCTGTAACGGAGAGGTGAAGACGGCGACGGCGTTAATAATAATAATCATTTTATACACTTAAATATATTTTGCTGTGGGATAACAACAGTTTTCTGTTTTTTTCGCAGGTCCTCTCCGAAATGAAGAAACGGTGGAAACACTGCTGGATCAACAAGAACGGGTCGTGGAATCCTTGCATGAGAGGCACGTCCGTCTCCTCGCCGCAACACCACCCACGGCTGTTGGTGACCGAAGATCAGCAGACCCAGGTGACTACAACAACTCGTCGTTTCGTATTTAATTTCTATTTACTGTGATACGAGTTTATAATGTTCAAAATATTTTCAAACAACCAAGTTTTTAAAAAACGAATAAGAAAATTAGCGTTTTACGATAAAAAAAAAATTCACTTCGTATATGGTATAATAATAATAATAATATGTTGGCCAACAACGGCTCTCTACTATTTCACTATCGTTTATTCAAAGGTTTTGGTTTTTCGTTTCAGAGGACCGGAAGCATACAAGTTTTGCCGCGAAAAGATTCTGCTGAATGTTTTCAAAACGTTCAACTCTAGGACACACACGACACGCGTTACGACATTAATATTATTTTTTTCCTGTACAATATAATACGTGTAATTTATCATGATATAATATTTTCCCGGCGCTGTTCAGACGACTGCGTCTCTTATCTGCGACTGGACCGGTTGCGTAGTGCCCGTGACGTTGGTGTGCGTGGTGCCACGTCTCTTGATCCTTCGGATGTACTTGTGAAAAGCTCCGTGCACGTCCACGTTGGCGAAACAGAACAGCACTGACACGCAAAGGCCCTGCGGAACACGGCAAAAAACGACAAGGTTAGAAAATTGCGTCGGCGGTGGTTATATCTATCAGGGGTGTGCTCAGACGTTCCCGGGGATTCCCGTATCCGACCGACCGTCGGTTTTAGAACGATTTCAATTTTGAAAAAAAAAAAACACCTATAAGGTGTATAATCTCATAGACTAGTAAGGGTGTCACATCGAACACTATGAAAACCCGTCAATCCGTATTTCCCGATGTCAAAATATTCTTGTCAAATTTTTGTTTCGGAAAATCTGAGCACCCCATACTAAGTTTGGGCAAAAAACTCTACAGTAATAACATTTATAAAAATAAATACAATTATGTATATGATTTATGAATGAGGCAATAATATAATATTATAATAATCAATTTAATTATATTGTGTCTCTCTATTATATAAAAAAAATGTATTAAAATATTATTTATTGTCATATAATTGCCACGGCAATCGAATAAATAAATAGATAATGATTTTAAAAAAAGACGAATATACAGTTATGAGTATTTGAATTTAAAAATCATTTAAATAAAACATCAGAGGGGCAAGCAGGGGATGAAGCCACTATAGTAATTAATAAAAAATAAAGCAAATAACTATGGTCAATGATTCAATATGTAATTACGGAGTTATTGATATTAATTGTATTAACTATTTTTTTTATAGCGAGAGTTAATTTATTTTAACATCAATAACACACATCAACCCAATCCTATTATTAGTATTCACATTGAATGTAATATAATGAACGATGTATTTTATTGAAATGTATAGATTACAAATTAATAATCTTTACAATTATAATTATTGTAACCGTTGGCCAATAACCTCAGATATTTTTGACCGACACTGAGTACACTCGATATCCGACCGTCGAGATAATGAATAATAATGTGATATGGATAAACGAGTATGGATAGACCTCGAATCCACGAGGATTCGCAGTGTTCGGGGTCGTATATTTTTTTCTCAGCGACACGATAAATAAATAATTTTTATTCGCTCGGGTTTTGCGATATCGAGGCCGAACACTCGCTGATCGACTCCACATTCGGACAATGATAGTATCAAATGCACCTATATACGATCATAGCCAATATCCATACTCGTCTATCTCAATAGTATCTATAGATTGGCGTAATAAATAGTAATATATTATTATTTTTGCAAAATTATCGACGGTGGTGATTAATTTTGCAGGCCCGTATTATCGACTGCAGTATCGTGTGTCACTCACCTGGGTCGACACCAGCACTACGGAAAATATCTGATAAACCGTTTCCACGGTGGTCTTGTGCTTGGGCCGGTACGGTATGAGGATGTAGTGGATGCCGAACAGGGGCACCAGGATCAGTGCGGCCCTGACCGCCTTCCGGACTCCGATCGGCGCCGGGTTTGTCGAGTTCCGGTGCAGTTTGGTGAGCAGCACCCGCATGACGTTCATCAGGAACATCAGGCTGGTCAGTATGGATGCGAAAACCGGCACGGTAAGCACCCACTGGCAGTGGCTCTCGTGCATCCAACACCTGCGATTCATTAATATTATTGTTGTGATTACAAACGGTTTTTTTTTTTTTTTTTAAATCTTTTTGTAGTGTCGTAAACATAATATTATAGTATAAATTATTATTATTATTATTATTATATATAACGGTATTACGGTTTGTGTCGATCTTATATATACACTATACATTTTAAGTGATTACATGTTAAAAATCACGATTTGTATTAATTGTTTTGCTAACCACGATGACCATATAATCTGCAGGTACCTTACGAAAATTATGCATGCGTGGTTTATCGTATATATTATATTGTGTAGGTCCGTACACGATAACCCATTGAAATTGTATGACTAGTGTTTATTTCAGACTTTCTAACCGAGGGGGTTGGGGGTACGCTATAGGTAAATATTGAAGGGAAGTAAAAATATTTTTTTGGTGTGGTATACATTTTTTTTCGGAGTCACCCCCCCCCCCCCCCTGAAATAAACACTGATGACTTCAGTAGTATATGGTGACGGATCTAAATTGTAAAAATATTTCGTGTGTGCCTGGGACAAACTTTGGGTTCGAGATCTTCTCTGTTGCAATAGTTAGATTATTTATATCCGACAACAGGAATGTTGGTTTATTTGAATTCACGTTAAGTTGGGTATAGCGGTAATGTAGGTATTCATGTAATAAATAACAGTTGACAACTATAATAATATGATCGTCGTGGCCTAATGTTCTGCATAGAGTAGTTCTGCTTGAGACATGCCAGTGAACGTAAGATAAATTATAAGTACCAAATGATGTTTAAATAACGATAATTAGTGATGTGGCGAGTAATCAGTATAATACAATATGTGTTGTTCCTTTATATTGTATTTAGCATATTTAATTAACGTTTAACTTTAATTTTGAATGTACACCAGGGCTTGGAGTTTTGCGCACTTTATGACATTCAAATTGTATAAAATAACCATGTAAATAATTATAAATTATAATATTGCATAGACGCAGTGTAGGAAATATAAATACACTGTTTAAATTGTGAAAAAAAAATATTCGAAGTAAAATCTCGTGGTCGTGCAATCGAATCTGGTTTTAAATATAAATTAATGCATACAACTCCGAGTCCCGGCCAACTATATTGTGTTTGACAAGTTTAGTACTAAAAATGTATATTACCTATGTATATTCTATAATCTATATATATAAGACTATGTTGATTTAAATAAGTGATAAACTTATTCGTATTATAAAAGATTTCTATTATAATTATATTGTTTTATGGTATGGTCAAACATAAATAAATAAGTATTATTTTGTTCGATCTTAGAAACGGTGTTCAAAATCAAGAGGAATTTTGTGTTCTTTAAGAAAAATGAAGCAATATTCAAAAATAGATATTATTTAACTAGAGGTCTGGAAAATTGCAGATGACAAATTGTCTTCAGTGCAGTGTGCATAAAATAAAATAATATTGAAACATTTTTTTACAGAGTGTTTGTCGGCTTGTCTATCGTCCCGTCGCAGTATTTCGTTTTATTTTCGAAAATCATATTCTCATGAAATAAACCCCTGAAATAGGAAGGTGAGTTACATAAATTAACAAATTAACATCAATATAATATGTATACAATATATACGAGTAGGTACTTTCTACGATTTGAAAGAATTCAAGTTAAGAATTTTAAGATTTACGGAGTAAGTATCCGATCTATTTTGCAGTAATACTACACAGAGTGATCCGCAGATAGGTCAAGCATCTACCGAGAAGACTCAAGTTTTTATAACTTGGTAGTATATGTAATTCTGTAAACTATGCACTTTAGAGTCTAACCGTGCAGGTTACGAGCAGTGAGTTTAGCGTTTTGACGAGGTCGTATAAATCTATATCTTAAGTGCGGTTTGCTGCGTAGTATGCCGAACGTTTTGATCGCGATGGAAACGTCGTTAACCGTTCCAGGTACTCGAGGGCATTGAGAAGGGTAAATATTATTATTAATTTTTCAATTTGGATTTACGGTGATAACAAATGTCATTGCCACCGTTCAGCTTCTCGACAGAGTTGCATCTCCATCGACCATCGCTGGCTCTGCAGTATGCAGATTGGAGCTTATAATATACACACGAACAAATTGAATGTAAAAACATTTAAAAATAATCAATAATCAAATATTGTGTCTGAATATAATATAATATTTTCATCAGATTCCGTCGTCGCCGCGCAGTAAATATTGTGTGTACAGATTTTCTTCTCGCAGTCTCGAATTGCAAAGAAATCATAATAATTTATTATAATTTTATAAAATATGTAATGTATACTTATACGTCTCAACGACATATTATAGACACGCTCGCCCTATTTTTTTAAACCATTATCCGTATATTAGGTATGAACACGTGATATGTGCAAGATATTTTAAGTAATTTTTGATTTTAAATATTTAAAGCACATTTAAGCATACTTGAAAACTTGTTTTGTTTTATTGTCACTCAAATGGTAATTTCTAGTTTCTAGCATGTTGTCAATTGTTACTCTGATTTAAACATATGATTTCAGAATTATTCTAATATTTTTGAATCAACGATTAAAGTCATCAAATACTTATTGAAAACTGATAGTTTTGCTCTTCAAGACTTGACAAAATGATGTAATATAATATCTAAATAATTAAATAATATTTTGAATGTGTAATAATCAGTTATGTCTAATAAAAAAAATTATAAAATTATAATATTATACTATCAATAAAAAGTAGTAGTTAGTTCTTGTCGTTATAAAATTAGGTGAGCCCTTGTTTAATAAACCATCGCATGTATTATTATATGAACGATAATATTGTCGATGATGGACGGACTGGATGAGAAAAACCTATTTAATTTGGATTAATATTATATTTTTATCCGATGACACGCCAATCGCAAAGTGAAAAGTTATTAATCTTAACACATTATAATCGTGTAATTTGTACCATGCACGTTTATCCGTCATCGAAACGCATCGGAGTAGTCGATTTAGTCATAATTTATAAGTATATAAGTAGGTAGCCAATAGTCAAGTATAGGTGAAACTAGTGAGTGAACAAATTAGAAACCACATTTGTATTACTGTCGCTCAACAATTTTTATTGTTTTTTAAAAAAAATTTCTTTTAATCACTTCAACTTATTTTTTTGCGGCCAAAGTAAGTTTAATATTATCGTATTTCAATGTACGCGTTTTGAATGACTCTTTTGTAAACATATTTTTCCTGTTACAATGCATAATATTATGTTTTCTTAAAAATATATTATGAAATATTGGAATGTCTGACACTTGATACAACCGACGGTACTCATGTTGTTGTATATTATATAATATATTTAAAACAGTATTGCGATCCTTCTCGTCATTAGGTAAGTCGAAAGTATAATTTTGTAAGATATTTAGTAATAATATGTACCTACACTGAGAACCAAACGAACATGGTCTTTAAAACACTTCCCTCACTCGTGTGTCGCCAGATTATTGTCTTAGGAAAATATATAAATTCATAAACATAGTCCTGTTTACATTATTTATTTACGTAATTGACACTCAATTATATTATTTGTAAGTCCATATGGCTACTACAAACTCATGAACTTACCATTCACTCTCTGTTTATTATAAAACCTAAACACACAAACATGTTACAATAATAATATGACGCGTTTAAAAGTTGTTTGTTTAAATTACTAATGTTTGTAGATTTTACTGTATTATTATTTTATCGTGGATCAAGATTATGTAGGGAGTGATCTCTGAAAATGTCTAAGTGGCATAAAAATATTGTTGTGAATCGATTGCCTTCCAATTGTAGTCGGTGTTTTTTTTTTTTTGTTAATACAAGGGCAGTATATTACTACTTGTTTTTAGAATGAAGTGTAAAAAATTTGGAATTTTCTCAAAATCTGTAGGTATTTGATGTTTTTTTCGAATCGTGAGTTGTTGCTCACAATTATTTAGTGTATATTAATTTGTCTTTAAACTTTGGTCACTGTGTGTGCAACTGCACAATGGCTCTGGTGGTCAGAGGGGATTCGTCCGAGTAAATAGTTAGGGGTGGAGGAAAGTGTAGAAAATAGTGACTGCTATTTATATGTATATATAAACAATAGGTATACCTACGCACGATATCTACGAGTAAATTCCTTATACCTAGGAATGAGACTCCAATTCCGCACGATGTATGGTCGTAATATTAGTTTTGCGACGATGACCTAAGCGGAAACTATCATTCGTGTCAACTGACTACTGACGGCCATTATTTTTTTAATTCACATACACACACTCACACGCGGTAATAAATGTTTTTCCGGTTGAAACCACTAACACATTCTTCTCATCGAGTTCATAGATATATATTATGTTCATATTATTATTATTATTATATAAACCCATGGCAATCTCTTTCGTTTTAAAAACGTGAGATACGTCCTCCTAATCCTAGAACGAGCGTATAACATACCGCTGACTACAAATCATCTACCTATATTAGGTATGTGTCCGAATTCGTTTTAAGGTGGGATTGGAAGACTTTTTAAACTCCGATACTTAAAGATTTGTTCTCTATAAATTGAAGTAAATATTTGGAAATTTTGTTTCCATGACGTAAACGTGAAATTTTGAGACATGTACCTACGTTACACTATGTGAATATTTTAGAAGCGGAATATTATTAATTAACATAGTTATGTGCAAGTCTTATAGGATAGACCACACGTTCCAGGCATGGTATTCCAATACCGCGAAAAGACACTCGCTCGTGTCCGTAAGTGCACCTGACACATAATATTAATTATAATATAATTATTATCGTTATGTACTTTGTTTTCGGTCGATGGAAACAGTGATCAAACGTGCGATTATAGGTCACCGACGATAGGTACATATCGACGTCATTGCAGCGGCACTATAGTGCCCTCGTCAGCATACAGCAAACCGAATATTGCACGCGTAGGTACACAATTTTAGCGGGTTTATGACATAATATGAATAAATCATATCGCGTAATAATCATTCGAGAAACGTCGGAGGCAATAATTAGCGATGGACTCTATCGGTGCACTCACTGAGCTGTGTCCTCGGAATTGCTCCTCCAGGACACGTACAGGACGGTGAGGGCGGCAGGTACGCCCCAGCCGATGGCGTAGAACCAGCGCATCGCGTTCACGTCGTTGACGAACACCACGACCAGAGCCATGTGCAAGTGCAGTCCTTCGCAGAACATCCACATGTAGTTGGCCACCATGAAAAACTGCAGAGCCACGTGCAAGGACCGGCAGTACATCTATATAAATCGTGAACGAATCAAATTTTTATAGGTACAATTACACTCCGCAGTGGCGGCTCGTCAGGGGAGTCTTTGAGACGGCGGGCGACTCCCCATAAAAATAAAAAAGTAGTAACGCAATAAAAAAGTTTGAAGAAAATTCTATTATAATTTAATATTTTTATGTTATATTATCCATTCTGAAAATAATTATCATGGTTTTCGATATTAATATTGATAATATTTTGTATTCTATTTTTACATTAATAATGAGTGTCATTCAATAACAATACAATATACAAATCATAGAGTATAAAAATATATCGATAACAATACAGGCTAAATATATCGATAACGACGACGACGGTCGTTAGTTCGAGAGTCTGCCGTCCGAAACACTCAATATTATGTAATATAAACAAATTGCATATGCATGACAAGGCGGGGGACGGGGATAGATTGTATAGATGTTATTCAGTACATTGAGACTAGACTCATTCAAAGTTTTTGCCGTTCGCATTGCGGTCGTCACGTATTTTTCTGTAAACTGCAGCGTGTCGTGCGTCCGTATTAGACTATTAAATTTAGCTATTTGACATTGTATAGCAGCATGTACCTAGTAATTAATATATTATTATTTATTATTGGTATTATACAAAACTACACAATTTACAAACTTAATTATAATATAAAGGACCCGACATTTGTGGAAAGTATAATTGATGATTTTGCGAAGAAAAAAGAAAGAAGAATTGAATTAGAATATAAAATAATACAAATTATCTATTCTTATAATTTTTTATAAAGCTATCAACTATCAATTATATCTTTTTTGTGTTCATTTTTTTTTATTAATACATTTTAAGTCTCCCCAATGAATTTACTTGCGAGCCGCCACCTAAGGTACTATTACGACGTCGACGATGGTATTCACGCGATAACGATATTATATTATGATTGTTATTGATTCGCCGACGACAAATGTGAGCGACGGGACGAGCCCTATATAGGTAAAAGGGCGTAGGCGACAATTTTGGCGAAAATTAGATATTGGTATCGACATTTTTCTAAAATTCTGACGCATCCATCTGCGAAATGGCTAAGCCACAAACCTAAACGTGTCATTTTACCGTTTAAAGATTGGCCACATGTCGTTTAAATACATTCAAAATTGATCGTAAGTCACATTAACTTCGAAAAAAATACGTAAGCTACTTTGTTGCGTGGGGTAGTGTAAGACTAGTGTAAGCGCCATGCACTAATCAACACGACAAAATGTTATTTGTAAGAACCGAAAGTGAAAAGTGTAAGCACCATTGAGCTATATTGGAACATTTATTTTATTGTAAGCGACATGATAGTTACACGATATTAAAAAGGCAGGTAAGTGGATGTCGCTCAGCTGTACAGTAGGTTACAAGTTGGTCATTGTTTAATGGATTGTATTAAACTTGAATTCAATGATATAATATCATTGTATAAGAAAAACGATTCTGAACGGAGACGGTTTGTCAGTCTGTATATTTTATATTGTCATTAATTATTTTATTTATTTAATTATTATTTTTTTTATTCGTTGCTACGGTGATAAACAAATTGTTAGAAATTAAAATCCCATTTTAAGCGGTTTTTCGTAATTTTTCAGTACTTTTTCCCGTGGCATTAAATAACTATTGAGAAAATCGAAAAATGACTTCTCTAAAGTACCATCTTGGTCCAATTTGCTAAAAGATAAGGTACTATATGTTGAAATCAAAGCACTCCTTCTGGTAGAAATTTTGTATACAGGATATAAAAAAAATAAAAAAATAAAAAAAAATAAACACCATTGTAAAACCACTAGCTTCCTTGCTCCGCTCAGAATCTAAAATATCATTTTTATTCTGTAAATGTATTTTCGAAGTAATTTTCTTATAACTACCTACACATCTGATTTTCATGAAAATCCATCAGATATTATTCGATTTTAAAAGTGTTTTTTTTTAGTTCCTGTAAAAAAATTAAAATGTCGCTTACGTCGCTTTTACCTAATAGGGATCGATATTATAATCGGACGGTGAGTAGTTTTTACCATCTCCTAAAATCTAGGCTAAATATTTAATTTTTAGGATTATTATTAACAAATAATAAATTATACTTAACATTTTAACATGATATCGGTACAGATATTATATTTGATAACCTATTTATAGATATTATTTATTATTCAGTACGATAATAGTATTGAGAGAGTAGACGAAAAGTGTAAATCGATTTACCTAATCGATCGGTTCTCTGTCGACGGACTAGCGAGTCGTGCCGTCCTAGATGCATTTACGCCACTGATTGAAATGCAGGCATATCAAACTTAAAGTAATAACTGGACCAAATATATTATACCTATTGAATTATTGGATGGTTTACTATACGGGCCGCACATGAAAATGTTTCGAAAAAAAATTTTAGGTATGGTAAGGTTGTATTTACAATACTTATTCAATTAGGTACAGTTAGTTTTTCTGAAGATAAGACAGAAGTGTAACGTAATGATATATCACTTACTTAGTTGTCAAACGAAAGGAAAATTGTATAGTATTTTTAATTGATTGTTCCTTGATATTGCTGTCCAAGGGCCATGAAAAAATTAGCCAAGGGCCCCGTGTTTGACATGCCTGGATTATATCATACATTTCTACTATAATTTAATCAACGATTTATTGTTTCGTCAATTTTGAAGGTTTATTTGCGGTGTTAATTGTCTTATACTGCAGCAGTGCAGCTAACACTTGTGTATATCACGTCGACGTCACATAATTATAAATATATTGGCCTGCTGTAGGGCTGTGACCTGCCAGTTTTATAGAACTCTTAAAATTCAATTATTTTTCAATATTTCAATACCTATGTGGAAATATCAAAAACATGCTACGGATTGTTCGGTGTGTATTCTAATTAATATTCTAAATGGGACAGTGCTCGATCTAAGACGTAATTAAAAAAAGAAAATAATTAAATCATTAAAAAAAAACCCTTACCCAGCAACGATTTATAAATGCTTTAGATTTGTTTGAATAAAAATGTTCTCAGCAGGTGGTGTGGAAAATACCATTGACGGTCGCATGGCAGTGACTATAAGTGACGTAGGTATTTAGAATATTTTTGATTTTTAATGTGAAATTTTGAATAATTGAATATAAACATTTTACTTCTGTCCGTAAACACTATGTACATACTTGGATTATTATGCCCATTGTAAAATGCAATTTAATATTAATAAAGTATTGTAAACGCGACTCCCTGCAGTACTGCCATTAATTGTTCGTTCTTATTATATTCAAATGTAATTAAACCCGTTTAAGGTACAGTTCACCCGTATACATCGTCATATTATGTATATTACCTATTATTATTTTGTTGTCAATTTCATGCCAATAATATAGCTTATAATATGGTGCCTAATATGTGCATCATGATATTCACTATTATCTATTTATTAATACGCAAGCACTTTTTATGCAGTCCTGTAAAGTATTTAAAGTAAAAGTATTTGAGTAAAAGTATTTACTACTTTTTAAATACTTTCAGCATGAAGTATTTTGAATAGTATTTTTTGTATTAAATACTTTTTGGTATTGAATACTTTGGTTTTTTATTTCGAACATTTTATTTTTATTCGAAATAATTGGTTGGAAAAATATTATTGTCAACTACAATAATAGAATAATAGTTTATCGCAGAACAATGGTTTTATTTAATATTTTGTATTTCTGTGTTAGCCGTAGCCCGATGGTTTGTGAAAACCAGATTTCTAAAAATAGTTATTGAATAAAAATATTCCCTTTCAACTATAACTATTAAATAACCTTTGTATTACGATAATTAGAAACACTCTGCCTTTATACATAGTAGGAGAAAAATATATATATCATTGTAATGGTATTGTTATCTAGAGATGCACAGAAAAAAAAATGGAATACAAAATTTAATGTAGCCTTTAAGACAGGTAATATACAAAAATATTAATACAACAGTGGCACCATCACTATAATATAATATTATATTTCATAGTTTTTTTTTATTTTTAAGTTCGTATTAATATTCACAATATACTTGAAAAACAACTTGCAGGACACATTTGATGCTAGTTGAAGCGTAAAATTGGTTACGACTAATACATCTACCTTGGGCAATTTATTTAATATACATTGTGTTATTATTATTACTACCATTATTAAAGATGGGAAAGATTAATAAGTAGACAATAATTTAGAGCTACTCTAAACAGTACTGTTTTTATACCATCTACTTCTCATTCATATTACAATTTAAAGGATTTCAATTCTGCTGCTGCTTAACGATAATAATAACCTTTATATAGAATTTAGTTTGTATCCATTATTCTATAAATACAATATTGCATATTTTAAAATTAAAATTAATATAATTATACAAAAATGATGGCATTTCGGATAATTTCAGTACTCAACAAACTTTTATATTTTACTGACTTTAAAATCGGATTATAGCATCGTATGGAATTTTCAAACCGGTTATCATGCCTACGTAAGTCCTAAAAAAAATGGAGAAAGTAGAAAATTTTAAATGCACAAATAGCACTATATTGAGCTAAAATGTTTTAAACATTTCATCATTTACAAAAATGTTAAGTCTATATTATGGTTATTTATTTTTGAATAAAAACAAATATAACAAAATATATTTTTTTATAACTAGTTTTGCTTAAAATTGTTGTTGTTTTTCCTGTTTATTTTGAAAATTACGTAGTTTTTTTCCATTTAAAATTTTAAAATAAAAGCATTTAAGTTAAAGCGGATAAGACATTATAACAGATATACATAAAAAAAAGAAATGCAAGAAATAAAAACACTCATCATTTTAAAACCAGTACATTTATTGTGCTGATCAAAAGGTTAAAATAATATTATTATACATACAGACAATAGGCTCAAGGCCGTATAAAAACTAAAACCATCAATATTTTATTACTTACGAAGTAGTATTATTGTACAGAAACATAA